TGTCCGTTACCTTCTACACCCCATTTCTTCTCTTTCCTAACTTTCCCTTTTCCTTCTGTCTAATAAGACAGTACAATGCTGTAAAGGTGTGGCCAGAAAGAGGCAAACAAAGCAACACCCTGAATGGCCTGAGGCTGGCAGAAACAGATCTCATGAGTGGCTGCTACGGCTGTGCTGTGTCTTAGTTTTGCAAGCAGCGAGGCTACAAGTGAGTCAACACCAGAGCCAGAAGCTGTGTGTTTACTAGCCTTGCTGTTCTTTTCTCTCCCGCTTTTGCCAGTGTCTTGTCTACTAGGAAATGAGACTGGATGTCAACAGTTTCATCCCATCTAAACTAATCTCATCTTTTCCCCAAAGGCTCAGTTGTTACCACCTAATTTTAGTGAAAGGCCAGTCCTCCTTCCCTCTCTCCTAGTTCCATACAATGGGAAGCGCTGAACCTCCTCTCTTACATCCCTGCAGCTCTACTGCACATAGCATTGATTTCTGCCAAATGTATATAATCAGTATCGCAGAGTATAAAACCATTCTGACCTCATTTCAAACACTATGCCTAAGCTGCCAGCAATGAAGAGAAATAGATTGCCTGTTGGCCGGTAGCACAGCTTTCCCAAGACTTAATTTGACAGGTATCATGGTAAAATATTCAAGGTAAATTATTTATAATCCCTAATAGGGAAGACCTGTCAGTAATATACCCCGATGAATGCCAATACCTTCATCCTTCCTCAACATTTTTATCCAGCTAAGACAACACGCAGAACAGTAAAGGGTACCTGCTCCTTGACCTCGATATTGTGCTCCCCTTCCAGAATAAGAGTCACTGCTTGCATGATTTGCTTTCCATGGGTGCTCATGATCTGGTCTATATGCTGCCAAAGGAATTAGAGACACAACATTAATATAAACAATAAGGAGTCCAGTGGCACTTTAAAAACTAACAACTTTATAAGGTATTAGAGAATCAGCTTTCATGAGCTACAACTCACTTTGTCAGATGCTGAAGAGAAAGAGACAGCCGCCCCCCCAAAAAAAGATGCAGCAATGGGAGTGAGACAATTAAATGCGAATTAAATCAGAGTGGATGTGGCTCATCAATGATGAGAAGGTGAGTGTCCCTGAATGGGAAATTACCTCTTGTAATACAAGACCCACTCCATGTGTTTACTTAGACCTTGGTTCAGGGTGTCAACTATGCATCTGAATTCCAGCTCAGCAGTTTCTTTCTGCAGGCTGTTTTTCAAGATTTTTTCTCTGAGAATAGCAAGTCCAAAACTATGTGCCCAGGGAAGTTAAAGTCCCCTCCTCCCTGCCCACCTTTAGATGTTGCCATTCTTAATATCTGATTTGTGTCCATTTATTCTTTTGCGTAGAGACAGTCAGGTTTGTCCGACATCCATGGCGGAGGGGCATTGTTGGCAAATGATGGCATACATCATGAGTAGATGTGCAAGTGAATGAGCCTTTGATAGGATAGCTGATATGGTTAGGTCCTGTGATGGTGTCACTAGGATAGATGTGTGGACGGAGTTGGCAACAGGGTTTGTTTCAGGGACAGGTTCCTGGGTTAGTGTTTGTGTTGTGACGTGTGAAGTTGGTAGTTAGTATTTGCCTCAGGTTGGGATGCTGACAATTAGTATACGTTTTCCAGAGAAAGGGACAAAACAGGGACATTCTTACTGAGAAAGGGAATAGAATTATCAGTATTTCTAGGTGTCAGTATCTTTATGCAAGGTCAAATGTGAGAACCTATCACAGCAGAAATTATTTTCCTTTTCATTACTTTAACTAACCCTTGTCCCAGGGAGAAGAATAAGGACTTGTCTACACCGGAATGTTTTGTCACCAAAACAGTGACAGCATTTACACTACAATGCAAAAAGCTTCCAGCCCTGCTAGAGACTTTTGTCATTTCCCCTCCATTTATTGTCAACAAAGAGCCAGCGTGGACTCTGCTGTATGGTTTGTAGAGAGAGCTGGCTTCTGCCGGTATCCCACCATGCCTGTGCCCTGATGGCTGTGCTCAGTATTCTGTGATCTCTGCTGCTCTGCAGGCATGAGTCCCTCCCCTTTTAAAGTTCCAGGAAATATATGACAACTGAGTGAGCTGTTCCATTTGGGGAACATAGAGAAAATCATTGGAGTGCTTCTATTCTGCTCCTCCAGGAACACAGCGGCAGGCAGGATGCTGCTGCAGGGAAAGGGCTGGAGAGACGGCTGTGCAGCTTTGACATTCCTCAGGACAGAGCTCACAGAGTTATTACAGAATCCCAAGAAGTGCAGGGATCAGCTCTACCTTTCCACAACACTGCACTGTGGGATGCTTACCCGCAGTGCTTTGCTTTGTCGACAGGGCACTAGAAATGTGTTCATGAAATGTTGACAATGGTTTGACCAGTTTTCACTTTTGGCAACTTTTGCACGTAAATAGCACTTTTGTCACCAAACCTTTCCAGTGTAGACATGACCTAAGGCGACGTTTCCCAAACTATGGGCCACGGCCCAGTAACTGAGCCGCGGGAAAAAAATACCAGGCTTCAGCGTGGCTGCCAGGGGGTTCCGGGCTCCCGGACTGTCCGTGCAGCGCTGGGTTCCCCAAGCCCTCAGCCGGGCTGGGCGGATGCAGCCGTATGTTTCAGGCTCCCGGCAGAGGCATAGTGAGGGTTACCAGGTGAGCTCTTATTGCTGGCTGTGGAGGGAGGAGGAGGGGTTGGATATGGGCCACAGGGAAGCAGGGTTGGGGCAGTGGAGGTACCCAGGGAAGATAGGGAGGGGAACCGGCCGGCAGAAGCAAGGTTTGGTGGGGGAACTGGCTGGCAGAAGCAGGGGCGGGCCCGGGGGCAAGGGCGGGGGGGG